CTCTTGCAGTTTTTCAGGAGGATGGAAGGTACTCTGTTGATGTATTCAGGCGTGTGCCCGACTGCACTTGGTCGTGTAATATGCTGACAAAATTCGTCCACAACGGCCGTTTCCAGTACATTTTTCACTAAAGCTAAGACCCTAAATGGTTGCTGATGTGTTACTGACCCACTTGAACGCAGAACATTCCATAATTTTGACTCTTGTGTAAGTGGCGTTAGCGAAGTGTAGAATTCCCGCCAGTACTTTGTGCCTAGTTGTCACAAACACGGACACGTGGATGCGGGCCGCGCTAGAGGCGCGCGCCTCTAGCGCGGCCCGCATCCACGTGTCCGTGTTTGTTTACGGGTCGGGCCGCGCCCACATCCTCTAACTCTCGCCGCGTGGTGCTCCTGTTCTCTCCCCATGCCGGCTCGCCTGACTGCTTTTCCTTTCCCTGCGGCAGCGCGGGCTGCCTCCGAGACCGTCGTCTGTGTCCTTTCCCTCCTATAATTACCTCCTCAATCTTTACCTCCCATTACTCCGCGCGGAGCCGTGTCGGTGACTTCGTATTGAAAGACAATAACAGCTCCGCGCTTTTCTCTTCCCTTTCCTCATTAAAGAACCTCTACCTAGTCGTCACAAACGACTCCAATTTTCGGTTCGTCCGCGGGCCCCATCTTGCAAGGAAGGGCACTTTTGTGTTGGGAGGACGACATCCGGCGACTAACGACCCAGGGTGGCGCCGGCTCGTCTTCCCTGCACCTGTACCGAAAGGGGCACGGGTGGTCCAAAAAAAAAAAAAAAAAGGAAATTACCTCCCGATGGGACGGGAGCACGCGTACGCCGCTGAAAAGGTTTGGACTGCATCGGAATAGGCAGTTGACGTACAGCCAGCAACAAGTGCGGTCGTCGGTGTCGCGAGTCTCGCGTAGGCGGCGAGCATGGAGTGAACCGCGCAACGTATTGAGACGGCTGCAATACCGGGCACCCTCGTCGTCTACCAAGCCGGCGAGACCTTCAGCGACACCCTGTCAACTTCCCTACGTTCATCAAGAGCTGGCCTGGTCGGTCCGTATGGAACTTTTTATTGCGACCTTTTTTTTAAACTGTTAATTTGTTATAACCAGCCCTTTTTTTAAGATTGTGTTGCGATGCGTCGCATGTCGAAGCTCAGAAGCGCGAGCCTGAGCTTTTTTTCTTTTTTTTCTCGTAAAATTTTCTTGTTTCTCCTGCAGTTTCATCCTGTTTTATTAATATTCCGCATATTTGTTTTTGTCTGTACCTCTTGTAGCGTTCTTTCAGAACACTGTTACGTAGCTGTTCTTTCCATCGCGTATGAGTGTTTTCCTCTGTTATTTTTGTTAACTCCTGCCTTTGCCCTTGTTTCAATTAAATGCTTGTTTGTGTGTAATCAGACTCCGTGTCTGCTCTATGAGTGCGTCGGTCGGGCCCATACACCACCACACGTGCAACCCCGCACGGGTCGACCAACCTGCAAATAAACTTGACATGTGCGACTTCGAGGCTTTTCAGGCGTCGCAGGCCGAAGCGTAAAGTGGAAGCCTGCGAGTCTGCCGCACGTCGATGTGGGATCGGCGGGGCCTCACCCGAAGTGTGTGACATCTTGCGTCCACGACAGGTGCCCCGCCGCGGTGGTCTAGTGGCCAAGGTACTCGGCTGCTGACCCGCAGGTCGCGGGTTCCAATCCCGGCTGCATTTCCGATGGAGGCGGAAATGTCGAGGCCCGTGTGCTCAGATTTGGGTGCACGTTAAAGAACCCCAGGTGGTCAAAATTTCCGGAGCCCTCCACTACGGCGTCTCTCATAATCAAATGGTGGTTTTGGGACGTTAAACCCCACAAATCAATCAATCCACGACAGGACTGGCCAACCACGTGGTGGTGTCTGGGAGACTGACGTAACTCTGAGCGTTCAGTATGTAGCCGTTCTGTTATTGCTTTGTTGGTTGACAACTGTTTATAGCAATGGACGACACGGAGTTTGGTAAGTAATTGAACAGGGCAAAGCCTTTGGCTTGGTAGGCAAGGAGTTATATAATTTCGTCGAAAAACAACGAAATAGACTTAAAGAGGAGCGCGATGCCGAACGCATTAGGTACAGGCAACATCTGGAATGTTCGATGGAACAGGAGCGAGAAAACTCAAGGCTGAGAATTCAGAAGGAAAAAAGAGCGCTTGGGAGTGTGCGACGCAGTCGGGTCTCAGCTTAGCCGCTGGAACGCCCAGTAGCGTAACCGACCGGGGCCTGAACAAGCAGTCGTACCAAGATCATGTTCTGCTACTGTGCCAGAAAATCGAAAGTGGACGGCGCATGCTTGAGACCTGGGATGCAAGGCACAAAACGGGCAAAGAGCCCGTAGGTGCCAAACCGCTGAGAGCCGGGCAAAAATTTAGTACCGTTGAGGCGGACATCAGGTTCACGAGTCTATCCAGTTGTCGGCTAATGCGTTTTTTGACAGATGCGGTAATCTTCAAGTAGACCCGTGCGTCTATTTCCTTTCAGCTTTGTGTCGAATGACCTCAAGTATTTCGTATTCAGCGTCTACTCCAGCGTCCGAATTTGTTTTGTATGAGTGATACTAAACTGCCAGTGTCAGTAACAGTATCAGCTTGGTCCAACAGCTTGGTGTGTGCTTTGGGTTTTAGGGACAAAGATGGAAACACGTCCGCGATAGAAGCAAGAGACCGTTGGAGTATTGGTGGCAGAAAAGTAGAGATAAAGGACAAGAAATGGTGGGAAAATTAGGTCATTCTGCCTGAAGAGGCAGAAAGATAGAACCTAAACTTATTTTTTTTCTTTGTTAGAATAAGATTAATTCAATCAAAGTAGATAACATAGTTTTAATTGTTTTATTGCGAGCCTGGTGGCCTACATGTCAGTGCCCCGTTATAAAGGGGGTGCTCATAGTACCCATCCATCCATTGCGAAAGGGGTCCTGCAACACTTTTTGTGCATGATCAGAAAACACTGCCGATAGGTAATCAAGGCTCCCGAAAATACGCGAGTCAAATATAGCGCAGAACTCAGCTTAGAATTAATAAATTATCAAGGCCAGATAAAAAAATGGATTTATCTACTCTCGAGAAATAACGATACGAGCTCAAAACTCGCACGTCACAGTTATTGTATCGGCCATTGGCCGATTTGAACATGGCGCGCTGGGCGATTACTCGGGCCGCCACGACTTCTCTCGTGCGCACGCGTTCACACTAAAAGGTGCGTTTCGAAAAAAAAAAAAAAAGTGCTCAAGGTGACCAGGCGCGCACGAAATATTTCCTTTAATTCCTCCATGTCGCTCTCTGCTTAGCTTCTATTCGTCGGGACGACAGAAGAGAATGCAATTGCAGCGTGAAACGTACTGGATATACATTCTTAAAATAAAAAAAAATGGCAGCATATCCACGGGGCGAATGATGGAGAGTGGGGCGAAGCATCCGTCCATTCATTCGTTTTTGCTTCCGTCCATCCATGCGTCCGTCTGTGTGACAGTCCGTGCGTCCACACGTCCATCCGTGCGTCCGCCCCTGCGTTCGTCCGTCCGTGCAGCCATCCGTGTGTCCGTCCATGCATCTGTCCGAGTCCGTTCGTCCACCTAGTGAACACTCCAAGTACCACCATCTCGTATCTTTTCATCATATATTCCGCATATAGAAGCACCGCCATCCAGCGGACATGCCAAGGACGAAACGAGAGGTGACACACGCACACTTTCTTATGGCTTGCGCTTCGCGTCTACTTGCACCTTTAACAACCTCCAGTTCATGGTACATACTAGTTCACTGTATTCATGGCACTGCGGCCCAACGCTCGCTAAACCTTTCTAAAACCAAGGAGGTTACGCCCAGCGAGTATAACGTAGCAACCTTTTCTTGTCAGATAGTGCTCAATGTACATGCCAATGGCTGCAAATGGGGAATGAGAGACAGGAGAATTCGGCTTTTAGTTCAAACAACGCACAGGAGAAATCTCCCACCGGCACCACCTTGCAGGTCAAAGCGTAGGACATGTTACGTACTACTACGAGGGACGAACGGCTGCCGCTTTAAAGAGCTTCGCCCCTAAAAAAATGCGGCGGTGAATTCTTGAAGAGTGCCTTTAGTGAATCCATTACATGTCTACTTGAAAACGCTTTCCAGGGCCCCTTTAAGTGAATGCAAGGGGCAGACTGCGTCCCCCCTTTCCCCCAACGTGCGCACGCCTAGAGCAACGGGATAGTTAAGTTGTGCAATAGTGATTTATACCTGTAAAAAAACCGAAAGAACCTGGCTATTACCAGGTGACCACTATCCTGACGCCTGTACAATATGCGTATTTTGTGTATATGCAACCAATTTTAAATACAAAATACTTTCGCTGAAATTGACAGTTCAACGGCCGCTTCATTCTTACTCCATTATGTGCGAGAGACGCGGTGACCTTCAGCAAGTTGAAGGCATGAACGCCCGTAAAGTTCATAAAACAAACAAACAAACAAAAAAAAGACAAACAAACAAAACGTGATGGCCACACGAATTCGGACACGTCTGGCACGGCGGTGCGAAGGGGGAGGTGCGCAGCACTGACGGCTCAGGGGCGTTCGACAACACGTACGGAACTAAATGAAATTGACAGCACACATGAGAAACAAGGGCGACACTGAACACTGTAAAGACGAACGTAAACCTAGCAAGAGCGGAGAAGTGAAGGCGAATGGTATTACAAGCAGTTCAACTCAAGCGAACACTGGTTCATTTCGGCGCCAAACACCAAAGTTCAACGCAGTACACAGCCAGCCTTTTAAGAGCCTCGACGTAAGAAAGAACGAGCGTAAAATTCTCTTTCCGGCCAAGATCGACAGCCCAGCGCGAATATGCCGCGCAACGAGTGCTGCGCGGTATATTACGCGTCGCCAAGCGTAGCCTAATACTTTGAGCCGTTTCGCGGTGAATTAGATTCGGCGTCTCAAAAAGCTGGTTCGTGCACAGAGCAGTTCCCGCAGCTTTGACAGCTGACACTCACCCTGCAGCATTTCCTCGAGTTTCTTCCGGTCAACTCGGACTCTTTCCACAAATGCATTCGAAGGGTCACTGTCGTCTTCGAGTCCGACAATGCTAGAGCCGTCAAATTCCGACGAGTGCGTCGACGTTACTTCAAATGCCTCCATGATGCCTCAACATTAGTGCTCGCATGCCCCACAAAATATTCTAATAGTGTCGCAAGGCGTACTGTTTTTTTATAGCTGTGACGTTGCGCACAACGATCATGTGTTCATCCGCCTTAACAGATTGACTGTGCTTTTAAAAAAAACCGTTTGAAGATGTTCGAGTATCTTCAAAAAAGACATAGAAAGGGCAAAAGAAGAACAGTTCTTTAGATATTGCAGCGTTCACGTTAATTTACGGCGCCGAAAGCACAGAAAAATGCCGCAACTTTTTCAAAATCAAAAATTGCGCGTCAATTTTTTGTTTCGTTTCGCTTTGCTTCCTGTTTGGTGACGCTGTGTTCGAAAGTGAAACTAAACCATGTAGGTGTTGTGTGACTAAACTGTAGGCCCCCTTTTTTTCTTGTTATCGTTTCGTTTTCTTTCCGCTTGGCGTATCACTTGAAATTTTTTTTTTGGTCGCTGTTTTAATTTGATAGGTTATGTTCGTTCTGTTTTTAAACCTGAGTGTCGGGAACGTCCTGTTGGAAAGGCAGTGCACAGCAGCGCGGACTCTTGACGTGTGTATTACTTCCTACGCTTCGCGCTTGTGTTGCTTCTGAATCATTCAGTTGTCAGTAAGCTTAAACATGCTACTCTTGGGCAAACGCGACGAGATTAAGTCACAAGCTTGTTCTTTAGGTCGCGGCGGCACGACCTATAGAATGCCTGAGACCCATGTGCTAAGATTAAGATGCACATTACTTATAAACAACCCCAGCTGGTCGAAGTTTCCGCAGCCCTCCACAACGGCACCTCTGATTATCATAGCGTGGTTTTGGGACGTCGAACACCAATAAGTATTGTTCTCTTGGTACTCGGTATTTGTGGTTGCTTGCTTATACCGTGAAATTAACTATGTATAGTGTTGCCATATCGTACGTGCAGGGCCACGATCGAGAAACAGTTTCAGAATTGGGCGATCGCCCAGTCCTCAATATCACCAAGAAGCCGGACAACACGAGCGAGTGAGTTGTGAAATTGTTTTTATTTTTTATTGTAGCACATCGCATTCGCACTGCGCGGACGGTACAATACTTGCATAAAAAATATTTGTAAAAAAATAGTCAGGACAAGGAAAATAGCTGTACAACATTTATGCACACTCATACATCTAAAGGGCATGGCAGTTAACAGTAATATGTGCCCCAGCGAGGAAGAACACTCAAGCATTCACAAATTCCACTCAAAGCATAACAATGAACAACGAAAGAAAAAAGCTGCACACTGAGCAAGTATAAGAAGTGAAATTCATTATGAAGTTAGGGAGGTTTTTTTCGAGGTAAAAGTGGCGCTATTATACGATACAACACGAAATAGGAAATTGTTTTCCGAGATATTACTGAACTGTAGTCATCGTGTGCTGCGCTTTTGACAAAGTACAGTAAGAAAAGAGGCAAGGTCTATCTACACTGCTGCTGACTGCACATTCAGTGTCGGAACATTGTCAGAGATGAGCAGAAGTGTCACACCTTTCTCACAGTATTTACACAAATGAGGAATGCAGGAGCGCATCTTGTTGTATACTAGTGGCACAGTTACACTGTTTTATTTAGGGACAAACCTATCTACATGTACGTAGTTGTAAAAAAACTAGAAAAAAAAACATGCTGTTGGCAATAAAGTGCACTATTATGTACAATTCTCTCATTCTCTTATTGTTTTTCTAACATGTGAATCGTTGAGGCGACTTCAAACAATCTAGCTCACCTAAGAAGCCCACCTGATGTGAATCCCAAAGCTCTAACATTTCACCCGCTACTAGATCAGAAGGTGCCTGCTTTTTCAGCAGACATGTCTTCGGTTATCTAGGCCAGTAAATGAAGTTGGAGCTGAGAAATAAAGCAAAGTACGAGTCTATTTATATTTGACTTCTAATCAAACTAGTTCACTGCTTGTATCTGGGGTAAGGAGATTGCCATACACAATAAAATTTGTGTGCAGCAACTTTAACAGTGAAAAACTAGAGCCTGGCAATTTTCTTAGTATGCACGTAGTTAGTGCTTGCCTATCACTTGGTGTCAATCTGCACACTACCTTAACCATATACCTTTCCAGTCACCTAGGAAAAAAAAGTGTTTTAGAAGTTCATTTTTAAATTATCTGAATGCATTGTAACAGTTATATAAAAGAAATGTGAAATACAACAGTAGCTGTTGAATCAGCTCATTAACTATAAAATTAGTTGCCTGAGATGGTATAAATGTATGGTCCCTAGCAAGGAAGGTCAGCTTAAGGTGCTGCACCACATGCACTGGGACATATTGAAGTCATTATATTCATTTCTGATTTATACTGAAGTTTGTGTAGAATGATAAGAACAATGTGTTTTGTGAAAAGGAAAAAAAAAAAAAACAATGTAGCAGCAATGTAAAAGACGAGGCTGCTTGTAGTCCTATAAGGGCTGTTTTGTTCGAAGAATTGTAAACAGGGTAGCTACTGTCCTTGGTCTTCACTATCGCTTGTATCTGAAAAAAAAAAAAAAAAAGGCTTTATAAATATTTGAAGCTGCGACAACATAGTCATTAACAGAAAAAAATACTTTCTTGACTGTTGCCTGCACAGAAACAAGAAAAATATGCTAAAGGCAACAGTACAAAATTTGGATGAGTGGTTAGTGTTTTAGCTACTGTTATGGTTTGCAGAGAGATGGCACTGCAGTGATAACATTGCTACAATTTTGCAATTCGTCATACATTATTTTTCAGATTGGTCACTAAAAACATTGGTCTTTTGAATTGCGGTGTGAAAACCAGACAAAGGTTGATTGTCCAAGATTTGCTGCCCTCTGTGCTGTGCTATTTGCTTGCTCTATCGAGTGCACTGGGAATACTATCCACTGCATCATGTCTTTTGTTCATACCCGCACTACCGTAAGTAAATGGTAACACTAGAAAATTTTACTCACCCTTTTTGCTGCCCTGGTACTGATGCCGACGCAGCCTGTCATAGAGATCTTCTTTGGTTCCATAAATGCTGGCATTACTGCGGCCCAAAGTACCGCTCTTTCCATTGTGTAGGCCATCTGCAATGCGACAATGCGAGACACTATTAATTTGTTGCAAAGCACATGCGTTGTGCAGTGTTGGAGAATGGGTACTGTAGTACGGAGCGATAATGTTTGATTTTGCACAGCAGATAGAACTGTGAAAGAATTTTTTAGAACCGTGCCACAGTCGGTACAACTTTTTCTTGCTCTAAAGAAAAACTATGACACGCTGTAAAAAAAGTGAGATTTCGGACAATACATATAGCAGTGGTTAATATGCATGTGTTCATGCAATTTGGTGCATACTGGTCACTTCATGCAGTAGATGCTGTATGCTAACTACTTAATACTAAGTATATGCATCACAGAAATTTTAAGTTACTTGTGATAATGATGGCTCACAGAAAGCTGCTGTGGTTCACTGACCATGAATCAGTTGCATTAAAATGTGGGTCTCTCAAAAGTTCAGCTATGTGCTATGGAGAATTGATCATGTGCTGTATCTACGGTATATGCATTTGGGTTGTCTACAATTTTGGTTGACACATCAAGCTCAAAGTCACCATTCAAGGAAAAAAAAACTGCCAGGCCTCGGCGAACACGCAGTACTGTTGCAGCAAAAGCTGGAAGAGCGGCCTTTCAGAGACTTTCTTTAACTCTCTTTAAATAACTGTCATGCACACTTGCAGGGTACCCACTATGCCATTAATCATTGTATGATAGGCAGGCATTGACTACGCCATCCTTCGTCATTCTTCAGAGAAGCGTGGTATCTACTGCACACTTTAAGGAAACTTTGTGTGATTTTTTTTTTGAGCTGTGCTTGACGACAATGAAAAATTATGTGAGAAGTTTTTGTAAATCCCCCAAAATTTCCCATAGTGGGACAGTGGGTATGCGCCACAGTTAATATGTGAACAAGAGCGAGTTTTTGTAAACGGTTATAGCATCCGGCGACCCCTCTTTGCACAATTTGCATTATGTGACACCCGATTGTTCCGTTGCTGTTCCAAAAAGCTTTATTACTCATATTATTGCAATTCCTTTCCTGACAAGAAGCCTGCCTAAGGCCAGTTTTCAAAGGAGTTCCCAGCACTAACATGGCTCAGTGGTAGAATACAGGGCTGGCATGCAGGGGTTCGAATCCCGTTGTGTCCTTGGTGTTTTTTGTTTATTGAGTTTTTTCCTTATTTCATGCGATAGTTGGTATGCTTCTGTTTTATTGTGCATGAGGTGAGGTGCAATGCTCATTAACAATAGTGACACCATCTTTTAAACTGTCACAGTTCATCATTTACAATTTAAAAATTCATAAGCTCTTCATAACGACCTATGCCGATGGCAAGCCGAGAAATTAGTTCCACCAGTGGTTCTAGGACAGTTATCCTCCCATTGATTACTATTTTAGTTTAATTTTTATTAATATGGTAACAGTTCGAGCATCCTGCTTTGTGCTTTTGGTCTATATTTGTGGAACAAAAAAACATAGACATATGTTTGAATTAATATACCAAGTGTATTTGTTACATTCTTAACACCTGATATAAATAAATTGTAAAGAATATGAAGGCTTTCACATTTTCAAGATGCCATTGGCAGTTGTCTCTCACTCACTGAAGGGTCATGAAATGCACCAACATCTTCTGGGCATTATGTGCAGGGCCTGTTCACCAGAGACACCAGCAATTCATGTCTCTTCACTTCACAATGTATTTATGCTACGTGAGTGCAAGATGCCTACGTAACAGGAACTTAATTCATTACTATAAAACTTGGATGATCTAGATTTAACTGTGCGCCCAGTTCAGGTGCTTCCACATAAGGTTCCGCTTACTCACCTTAAGTCTTTTGTAGTATGTTACTTCGATAGCAACCGTCTTACTGACCATGAATCATTTTGTTGTTATTTAGATATCTTGCATTTCTATTTAGTTCAAATAAACTTTCAAACTTGGGCCTTTTTAAGCAGGGCCTAATTAAGTTTAGGCATTCTCAGTGCACAAGCAACATACAAAGCTTGTGCCATATGTTGTTGAGAGCCAACAACAAAAAAGGAACAAAAACGTAACACTTTTCATATATATATATATATATATATATATAGAAACTGAAAAAAAAAATAGTAAACTGTACCAATTTGTCTAGTACTGCATGGTAATTAACTCCAGCCAAAAGAATAGAATATCAATAAACATTAAAAGTTCTGTTGTCAGTGGCTCATGGCATCTGTTGTCAGCTTCACCAATTTTTTTTTATCAAAGCATTTTTTCATCCTGTGCATTTGCTCTCTTATGACATTTCACTGTGTGCTGCATGATTAATTGATTCCGCAGTAGCATTTATAATGAGGGAAGCCAAGCACCAGTGAGATATAGCATGTAAGAAAAAAAAAGACAGGTGACAGAAAAACACTGCTAGCTCTTGCCATAGTAATCACATATGCGTACATCTCTCTAGTCTGCTTCACTGACAGTCACACTGGGTGGAAGTATGTGAAGAGCATGCTGAGGAGAATGCAGCAGTGAATCTGCTTCCCTACAGAACCATTGATGGCTTTCAAATGTTAATATTTCAGCCATGCCATATTTAATAGGATACTGGACATGTTTTCTTGGCCATGTGTTTGGCTATCAGTTCCTGATATTGTGAACATGTCTACCTCTAAGAACATGTTTTCACAGTCTGAACTTAGGGCAACATTGTTGTATTAAACACACACACACACACACACACACACACAAAGTGCTTCTTAGTAAAAGGACATGTTCAGCATGGATTTTACATGAGGTTGCTTCGAAACTCTCTTACCACTGGAGAATGATATACCTAATACAGCGTGTTTAAATGTAAGAAATATAGATGGAGCTGTGAATCGCCATTTCAGTTTCACCCCTTGAAAGATTTACCAATGACATGTCTTAGTGGTCCAGCTTGTTCCTTTAGAAAAAAAATTATGCATGCCTGAATCTCTATGAACTAGTTCTTACCAGATCAATTTTTCTCTATACAGATTTACCATCCTTGGTGTACATTACTGTCTGAAAGCCTAAAAGCTACTCACTTGCATGGTACTGGCATTTTAAAAACTGTCAACAATTTAATATGATTTTGCACGTGTTTTTTTTTCTGACCACTGAAGATGCTGAACTGTTCCTATCATAATGTATCCTTGAATAACTAGCACACTATACTAGAAACACTTAAATTGGGACACATTGCCTTCAATTTTGATTAATAAAAGTAGCCTCCAGCTACATACCCTTCATGTAAGTTTCATTATAGAAGTTCGGCATTTCCCAGCCATCATCGTCATCATCATAATAATGAGCATAAGTGCTATGGTGGGAAGGAGCAATGCTCTCTGCATAAGGTGCAGGGGCGCCATAATAGAAGTTAGACTGCGAGCTGCTGATGTCCATGGGTGGGGGCTGGGGCAGCTTCTTTGGCTTATTCTTCCATGACGTCCTGTGAATGAGAAAATATTGGACAAGTTTTGTAGTCTTCTTTAGTGCATCAAAAGATAGAGCCTAACAATGCTTTTGTAATAAATCTTGTTAGTTCACTAGCTTGGTGACACTAAGGTACATTTTCTTTGCTTGGTCTTCGCTTTAGATTTTGCTTTACATTCATAAAAACGCAAGGAAAAGCTATCTATGTGTCTCATTACTTTACGTTACATGTTGTGAAGGCTATAACCAGTTATTCAAACCTACTGAAATCAAAATGCTCGGTAAGACCACTTAATATGTCAGCTGTTTAACCAGATGAACTAGAAATACTTGTTCGTTTCTGCAGCTACGGCTTTAATGCTACACAATGACATTGTTTCAAAGCAGTGGCACCAGTTTCTGCAATATCATGCAACTTACATAACTATTTTTCATGACACCCTGTGCTCATATAATCTAGAGTGTTCTATAAGCTTTCTGCAACACAGAGTGTATGTAATATTGTCGTTGTTTTTTTGTTTTCGTTGTTGGTAGACCTTGCAATGTTTGCATCACTAAATTGAGTTGTTCTTTGTAATTTCTTATTTAACTTGGCAAAATACTTAGTGTTGAATGTTTAAAGCCAGTTATATTATTTTTAGATCTGTATTCAGTTTGATTAGAACCTCTTGCTGGTCATTCGAACGTTCCAAGTTCATGTTATTTATTTATGCATACACTCAAACCTTATTATAACAAAGTCACATCTGCCAGAAAAATACTTTGTTGTATCCAAAAATTTATTATAAACATATACAGTCAACTCTCATTAATTCAAACTCGAAGGGACCCCTGAGTTTTGTTTGAATTACCAAAAAGTTTGATTTATAAGAAGTGCTCAGATAGATGACTCTGGGTCAGGTGACACCACACATCATGATTAACCATGGATTTTATCACATTTAAAAGTTTTAGGTGTTTTTAAGCTCTAACTGCACGCAGTGTACCGAAAGCAGAGGTGTAAAGTCCACAAGTTTATTGGTCATTTACTGCTAATCAGACCTTTTAAAGAAATCGGGAATTGCTAAGTGCTTCATTGCTATAGGTATGTGCCTTTAGCACAAAGCTCTCCATACTAGTTAAGAAGTATCACGGTTTGTCATGCGTGTGCTTTATTTAAAACATTTTTTACTTGGAAAGCCTTTTTTCCTTGAAGGCATCAGGTGCTTATCTTTCATTTTAGACTGTCAGGACTATATAAGCACACAAATTTTTAAATAGTAGTGGGAAAGCAGCAGACATATTTATAGTATGGACCTGCAAAAAAATATGAATTAACCAATTGATGGAATTTGAATTAAGAGGCTTTTAAATACACTGAAAAAAGAGAGGGCCAATTGAAAATAAAAAAATTCATTTTGGTTTGAATTAACCAAAAAGTATCAATTATTAAAGTCTTCTGCTGTCCACTGTAGTTGCAGCTCTGTATCTATACCAAAAATATTCATTTACTTCGTTATAACCAATCATTTATAATATTCAGATTCGTTATATCAAGGTTTGAGTGTACTGTAATAATTATTTCCTGTATTATACTACTCTACTAAATTGTCATCTTGCTCCTAAATGATATACTCCTGATCTTGTGATCTTTATGTAGCTTATATTGCTTAAGTCATACTATAATTGATTGCCCTGTGTATGTTATGGTAGGGTTGTTGGCTGAAACTTTGTAATTTTGTCAAGAGGATGCCGTAAATGTAGCTCAGCTTTGAGTGTAGCATATCTCGTATTTAGTTTTTAAGCAAACACATGAAAGTAGTAACATCAGTGTTTTTTACACAATATCCCAGCTAATATAGCACTGGAATTTAAGAAAGAAAAAATGGAGCTTTACAGTTTCACTAGATAACACCTGTAATTCTGGTACTCTACTGTCTTCTAATAACCTAACTTCATATATGGTGTACTTTTCGGGCTTGAGTTTTAATAAAAGTTCCGACATAATTAATGGATCAAACATTCACTTTATATAATGCTACCTTTAAGGTTGTCTTTTTCATCCTATGCACAATGTAAACATGATCACAAGCAAAAATTTCCCTGGTGTCTTGCTTAGCATGATATACTGCAAACAAGCTAGTTCAATAAACTGCCTAGCTTGGTGTTTGTGATTTTCCGGACACCAATCATTTGCACTTGGTGGCAGCTCTTGATAGCTTTGCTCTGCTGTTTCACTTAATTACAGTATCACGAGGCAGTACTTCCAATTTGGGGACTTTCAGCCACTATGCTCTCATCATCATGTGACAGGAAAGCAGCAGGTACTTGTATAATCAATTACTCATTGCTGTGGTGGAGCTGCCTGGTTGGAAAAATAGAGTTTGTGTGAAGTATGTTTGCATGTAGTGCGTTAATGACAACTAAAGCTGCTGGATATATTTAAAAAATATATTTTGCATGCATTGTATTAAGTAATGAAAGAATGTTTACAAACAATATAGTGTGTCATAAACGATTCGTTGTGATGGCTGAATCAGTTAGAATATATAGGCCAAATGCAATATTTGAAAAGTCAGCTAATTATTCCCCCCTAATTATTGGTTATGGTAAAATTGTACAGTGTGAGTGTGATAATAATATTACAGTACTATGCCTTGTTATCCTTATACCTCACATAATCTTTTAGGCAAACATTATCGCACATTATCTGGATGTCCTGTGTGTTAAAACACATGCATTTCTTAAAAAAAAAGAACTTCAATAGTGAAAGATCAATAAATTGTTTCAACGTCTTACCTGACACAAATCATCCAAATCAAAAGTATGATGAGAATAACAAAGATGACTGCTCCAGCAATGCCTCCGACAATGTAGACGAATTCCGACTTCTTCTCACAGCGGTCACCATAAAAGTTGCCTTGGCAAGCACATCTTGGTTCACTTGTTTCCTGGCTGATCTCACATCGGCCTCCGTTTTCACAATAGTCTTCACAAACATCTGTGACAGATTTTCAGGCATATTTGGCAGTTAGTGAAATGTGTTTTTTTGAACAAGCATGTGTATAAAGCTTGGAAGGCAACGGTGTCATTGATTAATCTCGTGTATTTTACTTCTTTACAATTAATAATAAAAAAAACAAAGTGTGAAAATGTGAAAGGACCTTAACAGAAGCTTCTGACTAGGCTGCACAGCTTTATATGCATTTTAGCCTTGTCTAGGGTAGAGACCATTTTTCGCTTTTTCTGTTTGACTGGAACAGAACAGATTCGTCTAAAAGGATTTAAAATATCGGGAAATGCTAAGGGCTCCAACGGGCCCTTCCAAACTAGTCTCTCAGGACCTCATTAAAGTACTTTGTCTGTCTGTCTATAGAAGTGATCTTATGTAACTCTGAAATACCAGTAGTTAAGCCCACTAGATACTGCCAGTGGACCATTAAAACTTGTCTGCCATATCTTAAGCAAGATGGCTGCTTTATCTCATGCAGCTGTAAACAGTCTTAACCATCACGGTGTGGCAAAACATGTCTTAATGTGCTTTAGGAGAACAGGCAAAGCTCTGTAAGTCTGATTTCATGCAACACTTGTTGCCTGGCAAAAGTGGACTATTATAAACAAAAAAGAATTTTCTAATGCTATCTATGCTATTGTTTAGTGAGGAGCCTTATGCCAAAAACACATTTTAAATAATGCTGATAAACATCCCATAATATACGGTAAGTAAATATTGATTCTAAGCAAAATATTTGTAAGATTGTTTGAAATAATATGAGTCTTGAGAAGCTGAACTTAGTAATACCAGAGTTTTTAGTGGACTTCCAAGCTGAGTTACTATTACTTCCTTATGTTCATTATTTTGCTGTCTTTAAAATAATGAGGCCTGACTCTATATATTGCACCGTTGTCTTCCGGTATATTTAATACATATCTTTAGGATTCGCATCAAGGTTAATTTCAAAATAATCTTTATCATGTGTAACCAACTGTGGCATTGATTGGAAAGTTAAGCAACAAAATTCTTATTGTGAACCTTCTTACACTTTTCGGGTGTTAATGGTGAAGTGGTCTGAATAAATACTGTTATAGTGCTATTTCTGATAAGTTAGAGTCTTTAAAAACCAGAAAAAAGAGAGAAGAGCCTGTTGCAAGCTGAAAATCAGACAATTTTACGGTAAATTTGACCTGAGTTCATATGTGGCGTGTGCATGAGTGGGGGAGGAAGCAGTGACGTGGCTGCTTCCCCTAGTCACCTAAGAGGGGGGCACAAAGATAGCCTCATACATTGACATAGTAGGGAGGGGGCGCTGTGACATATCTTTGCCAAGGATTACTGTATATGATATACAGTAACTCTAACTTGGCCTCACTCAAAAGGGGCGCCCTGTGCACACATATGCCTGGGCTACTTTTATCTAGACGGATGGGAATGAAACCTGCATCACCTTATTACTGAGAAAGGTCATGAAATCTGTATTTGTAGATTACCCTTTTGGAACAGCAAACGTGTCGCTCCTGTTTTTAAGCCATAAAACTTGCAGAAGCAAAAGACAGGTGGTGAAGTTGCCCTGATGTTTCTGCTCCAATATGCTGTGACTTCATAAATTATGAGTACCTACTCAAATTTTATGACTGTCTTGTTGGTAAATAATATCTACATGACATTCTAAATAAATCTGAGGCCTGACCTAGCTAGATTTGAGCACATTACCGGCACTAAAATGGGCCAAATATGAGAAAACACATTGAAACTTGATGATCATCATTAAAGTTCAAGTATGAAATACAGAGAAGAGAAAACTGCCCTCTGGAAACAAAACTTTGAAAGAATATTTAACTGGTGTAAACTAATTTTGTGCTTTTAATTATTTAAATAATTAATTCCTTATGAGGCTGTGTATCCAGAAAATGTTTTCAAGGCATACATCTGCTTGCAAGTATTCACTGCTGCAGTTGTTTTGAGTAGTGACTGGGGCTTACCAACACACTCCCCACTGTCATTGTTGAGTCTAAAGCGAGGCATACATCGGCAGTCATAGTCTTGCCGTTCCTCAAGGAAAACACAAAAGGCGTGCTCCTGACAATCTCGCTTCTCGCCATTGACCACGCAGGGATCGGAGCAGTGGCTGCGGCTTGTAGAACCCATGCCATCAGTTGTAGTGTCAGGTGGACAGGACTTGCACTCAAGGTCACGCTGTTCCTCATCTTGGTACGTGCCCCGTGGACAGGGCACACATTCCTCACTGCTGCTATTAAGGTAGTGGCCCACACGGCATACCTCTGCGTAAAGAGAAAGAGAGCATGGCTCACTATCAAGTGCACACACAGAGCACAGATTCTTGAAATGTTCGATGCAAACAATCAAAAGGTTTAAGGATCATAGAGTCGCGCAGAATGGTTTCTCAATATTTTCTGACTGCTAAGATTTTGTGGTTTTAATTATATTAAAGCTTCAAGTTGATACTATAGTACCCCAGTTTTAGTCTACATGTCTGTATACTGAAGATTGGCAATTGGGGAAAAGGCATATGGTGAGAGGTAGAAACAGCATTCATAAGAGTTCTTACTTCTCAACACACACGGTTTATGCGGGTCCTTAAAAAACCTTAAATTTGAAAAGATTTTTTTCAAAGCCTTGAAAGTGCTGGAATTTTCACAAATCCTTGAATATTCTTGAATTTTCTTCTTTATTTTTAATAAACATTGTTGTACATGTAACAGTTCATTATTAGTGATGCCATAAATGTAGCAGGTGTCGTATCATAGTAAATGCCCATTATAATAAAATTGAGAACATCAATAGCTTCTGCAAGGAACCAACACCACGTATTTTTAATTATAGTAGTATTTGGGGTTCAAAACCAAGAGATGATTTGAGAGGCACCATAGTGAAAGTCTGGAAATTTTGGCCATTTGTTGTTCTCTAACATCAGGGCTGGGCAAAGATACTTTGAAATTGTATTGCGATATGATACATGATACTGCCAACCTGAGTAGTGCATACAGTTGGTGATGAAGTTTTTGTTTGTGGGTGAAGGTCATTGTATGCAAGCAGAAGCATTGCTATGTTATATATTGAAGTAGGATGAATATCATGGGTAAATAATATAGTTTTAGAAATAGTATGCAGCATTTTGCATGTTTCTATGTTTGTTATGAAACGTTAGCTGAAAGAAAATTTGAGTGGGGTGGGGAGGGCAAATGCTGCCTCAGTGGTTTTGAGCATATAATGTGCATGAGCATATAATCTGCATCACTTGGAAGACATCAGTGCTCAAGAGCAGCACATATTTTCTGGTTTCTTTCATTTTATGTACTACCAACCGAAACTGTATTGCGCAGATTCATGTACAAAGGTTCATACACAGCATGCATGCATGGCCATTCAATCTTATTTCTTTTACCTTCCTCACTAGAATAAGCTCAAGGCAATAATACATGTGTACGTTCTAAACTTGAATGTCACATGCAATTTCATGCATAGTAGCGCTTACCAAGTGAACATTGGTCAATGCTGGTTGATCCAAAGTTAGGCGTTGTTGTGCCTGGAGGACATGGGTTGCAAGCAGCCATACCTCGTGTCCTGTAAGAGCCCTTTGGGCATGGGTCACATTGCCCTGTCAGGCTAAGCTGCAGTCCTGCTGCGCACTCCTCTGGCAAAGAAAACGAAAACACAATACAGCGATGTTATAAAGTGAGGTACGCATTTGCAACCGTCACCACAATAAGAAGTAATGAAATAATAACAAGAACAATAGACAAGGAGATTCTACAAAGAGGGTTGTACTAAACATTGCAATAATATTTTATAACCTGTCTTTTTAGTATCTTATTTCTTTATTAGGGCAATAGCTTGACAGCACAGAATAGCAATCTGAACATTCCTGTTTAATTAGATTATTTGGGTTACATGTACCTCGACACTCTTGCACAGATACAGCCTCATTAGTTCGTGTGGTTAGGCCTGGTCCACAAGACAGGCAGGAGAAGGCACCCTCTCGTGGCTGGTACATGCCATATCCACAGGAGCGGCACAGTCCCAGAGATTCATCGAAGTATTTGCCTGTTGAGCAGCGCTCTGCGGAAAGTATAGTCACAACAATGATGTGAGATCACTGCTGTCATTGCTCGAACAAGTCTTTGTAGGAATATTATCATATCTATTGAGAAATGCCAAAATTCACCACTAACTGAAAAAGGTTTAGACTGATCAAACATACCGTGGAATACATTATATTTACACCAAAGTGTTGCATTCGGGAAATGAAAAAATCCTCATGATGGAGCCAGCATATTCTGGAGACTTGTTTTTGTGCATACTAAAATTATTATACTAATTGCTTTTCTTGGAGTGTTTTGGGACAAACTGTGTTTGACCCTCAAATATGACATACTAATTTGTGTACATTTTTTTTAACACTAAGGGTACAGTTTATTGTACATTAGTGGGAATTTCATGCATAATTTTCATGCTAAAAACTTCGAAGCTCTTATGAGCTCTGCAAGAACTTTTTGTGTTAACTATTCCTTCTTTTCTCTTACGTTATGCAAATATTCATGAAATACCAGAATTTTTGTGGCACTAGAAAAATCAGAGGTTAGTAGAAAGCATGTATGGCATGCCTTTGCACTGTCCAGCAGACCGAGCTCCAGGACCTGAAGTGACACCTTGTTTGCCTGCAATGACTGGACATGGCTTGCAAGACAGCTGTCCCACATCGTTCTGGTAGAATCCTACTGGGCAGGACCGGCAAGACTGTGTGGCATTGTTGTAGTATGTGCCAAGAGAGCACTTCACTGCAAACACAAAAGCAAATAAAATAGTGAATAAAAAGTTCAGTTAATAGGCTGTTGTGTTCTCCATATTACTAAGTATTGGCATCCTAAGTTGAGTTTATAAAAGAAAAAAAAACACGAGAAAAGTCAGTCATTCAACCTGTAAAGCTTGGTGTGATAGATATATAGAAGGAGAAACTATTAATTAAGCTCTTAGACATAGTCTGAAATTTCTTAGTCATTATTTATTGTAAGCATTTGCTGTCCTCTGAAATTTCTTAGTCATTATTTATTGCAAGCATTTGCTGTCCTATGAAGCTTACCACAGAATGGAGCAACCACAACTTCTCCTGCTGGACATGCGTAGTCTGTCACCATGCTGAGGGAAGTGAGATCTGGTGTAACATTTGGCAATGTGTCTCGCACGTCAAAGGCACTCTGTTGCAGGACAGAATTTTCAACGATCTTCTTGACAGTTGACTTCTCTTGTGTGTTGACATTGACTACAGGGTCGCTGTTGAAAGAGCATGGCAAAATTATTTTAATTTAATATGAAGCTTTCAGTTATGGTTATTCGTTTTGAACTATATTCAACAAATGTTCATAAAGCCTGTCAAGCTTTTATATCATGTGCCACCAAAGTTCTAGTCTGAGATTGCACTGAAATTAGTGTGCACACAGACACACATGCCCACGCACACACTCACAAACTACTGCTATATTACAATAAGGATCCGAATTTGCATTAATTTTTACTTTTGTAACACCATAATTAAAATATTTTGCTAATGAAATTAGTTTTACTTAAATAACATCTGTTTTGTGCAGCTTTCCAAAATGTTCGTTTAAAAACTCGCACGATAAATGACACATCAGAATACAATAGAGCCTGCTTATAGCGATATCAGCCTTAACACTATATCAGTAATAACATTGAGAAGCTGCTACGCTGTCAGCTTTTTTATGTTTTGTATGGTGAAATAACCTGCTTGCAGCAATACCTGCATGCTGTATTATTGGTTATAACAATGGGTTATGGCCGTTAGGCATCCATGCTAAAAGGTAATGAAGCGAGAAATCATTTAAAAAAGAAGAAAACGAAAAATTCAAGCTGCTGAACTCAACTCCAATGTCCCACTGTGCCCCTTCAGGTTCTGGATATGCCTCACCACATAGTGTTGTACTATTGTGGCCTAAATTACTTGAGATATGTAACAGCACGAACGCTACGCTGGCTTCTTTTAATACACTTTCGGGCATGCAGTTTTAATAAAGTAGAGACTGAAAAGTTTCGGCACCTGGAACTTCAGGGGTTGTCATACATAGACTCTAAGTGGCTTGAGGGGGTCCCGTGGAAGCCCCCAACTTTCAAGCATGTCCAAAAAATAAGCATCTTTGTCATCCTTATGAGTGATGTTCGTTGGCATATTCCATTTGATAGTGTAGTTTTCTCACAACAGCCTGCCATCTCCCTGTATTGCTTATTTTCTGTGCAACTCCTTTATAGCATTTATCGGTTAGAACAAAGAAATTTTCATGGCACGTGAGTTTTGTTGTAAGCGACTTTGACTGTAGTTGCATTGATGTAGTCACTGCATACAGTAAAATCATGGTACAGTAAAAGCATCAAGGTATTTAGATGCTTAAGAAACGTGTGTTGGGGGGGGGGGGGGGGGGCCTCGGTAAGGCATAGAAAACATATATCGGCACCTAGATACAAGACAACAGATGAAAGAAGCAAACGGGACCAGTGCAAACTAGCAACTGATTTATTTATAGTATGCCTCTTTCCCACAACAGCAAAGTGCATGGGCACGATTAAACCTAGCCGTACGTTGTGGATGACAACTCAACAAACAAGAAATTCAACTTATTTCTGGTACAGGTGTAAACAAGCTTCACTGACACACTTATCAAGTCTGTGTCGTATATTATCCCTTTCAGTGGTGGTAGCTATGTTTGTGTATGCAATTTATCTTACTTGTGTTTACTTGTGACAAAAAGAAAAGATACATTGCTCATTGGATGAACGAAACCTTCTCCATAGTCGGTAGGGCTTAACAAAACTTCAGTAGGCCGCGTATAACTGTAATCAATCGCTGTGGTGAAGGTACTGCGATGTTTGATGAGTCGTTTGACATACTGCGCTTCGGGACCAAAGTAAGAAGTACTACATTTCTTTTCCAGAACTGAGTAGAACCAAAAGCTGCTTGTGCACGCATTTGGAGCCTATGATTTCATTCCTTTCAAGTCATAATGGAACATGACTGATGGCAGAAAACATTAAATATTGAATTACATTTTAACTAGACTTCATGACTGAAACCCACACAAAACAACACTCTGCTTTATTTCCTTTCTTGAAATGTAATTATTTAGTGCCTCAAAATTATGCTATGTGAATTTGACACATTCGTAGACAGCGCATTATAATTAGCTCCTGAAGGAGGTGGCAAGGCTTGAATTATTTTTTGTGCCTTTCTGTTCTTTAGATGCTTTCTTCTTTTCACATCAGTGAGAAATACCCTTACCTATACTAAAGAACGTTGCGATTTTTAGTGTAAGTCTTTGAAATAATAATTGAAAATTATTCGTGTTGAGTAATATCTGACTGCTTACTTGTGGGCAGGGAAGGAAACATCGACAGAGTACACGTCGCTATCATCCAGTTGACGTCGAACCAGGCGAGCGTGCTTATTGCAATTTACATTTACACGAATGCCACTGCATGAGCCTGGGGAAGGATCCACACATATTCTCCAGTTGCGGTTCACCTGCAAGTGCAAGTAGTAGTACATAATGAGTTAAATAATGAAAAATTCATTGTTTGTTTAATGTTTGCAGCTATGCTTCTTTAAGGTTACTACTTTTTCACTGTCATGTAGTTTTTATCATACCTGGAGGAGGCTTTCGAGAATACGTGAGTGCAAGATTTTCTTTCCAGAATCTGAGCACACCACAGATGATGGGAAGTTCATGGCCAGACGGAAGATACGCTGAGCTGGCCGCTTTGCTGTAACCACAGAAAAATACTCAATATCTATTTCAGGGTCTAAAATATTCCAAGTTCACATGCATCGACATGTTGGTTTTGAAAAAGTTTGCCTCTCATAAGCTTTTCTTGTAAGCATTTTCATTGCTAATTACAATTTACCTTTATTTAGCTACGCATGCCAGTTTTAGTCATAAATTAATTTGTAATGTGTGGAGGTTTTTTTTTTCTAATATGGCACTGGTATGATAAAAAGAGCTTTTTCTAGGATTTAGGCACTTATATTTGTCAGCTTGAATGAGTTTGAAAGACATAGTTTGTTATGTTAACCATGGCACAACAGGTGTGCAGAAAAATAGTAATTTGACATTTTTAACAATTGAGAACCATTTGGTTCTCATGCTCTTTTTGTGAAATACTGTGACCATACCTGAGGCATAATTAATTGCAGTTACCTTAGATGTGTCAACCCATCACCATTTTTTAAATGCTAGGAATGGTATATTAAATTACCTTGTTTCTACAATATTGATTGCACAATTTTGCTTAATGATAGTGTAGCACTTGTATGTGAGCTAGTTTCTGAAAAAATAATTGACTTCAGTCTTCTTTCAGCATGCCTTATTATTATTTGTTTTTTTCTTATTAGTTTTAGACACATTGTGCCATGCACCTTTGAATTTTGAAATTCGTTACTATGTCCAAAATTCTGAAGGTATATTTTTTTTCTCCTCCAAATCTGTTTGACTTGTTAACAATACAAATAAGCATGATAAATGTAACTTCATTTTTGTGATCTGCTAGAGTATAGGAGTGCCAACTGCTTATATTGAAAAAGATATTTAAATAGCAGTTCAAAGTAGAGGCAGAAGTAAATTAAGTACACCACAAGATGCTGTTTTAATTTGCGAATTCCTTGAAGTGTAATTTTGAAGTTTTGGAGGATTATAAAGTTCTGTTCGAGAGCTGTGGTTATGAAAGAAATGACTAGCCAGTACTGGGCCTTGGCAGAAGCAATAAGTTTAAATAATTTTGTGTAGCTTTACTGTGTGTCCTGGTGGCCTTAGTTATCTGACATCTTCATGCTACAAAAAGATAAAGTGAAGTTGAAACTTGTGAGTTGACACTCATTCTGAATTTGAATTCAATGGAATTTTTATTACTATTATTAGTATTAACTAAGTAAATATAGTACAGAAGGATGTTCCAAGGTAAAAGCCAAAGTAAACTTTCTAGCAAAGTATCTAGAATATGTTGATGCTTGAATTTTTTTAAGTATACAGAAATTTTCTTTGGGTGTTTATAAGGGTTTTAATGCATTGTAAGTGTTTATACTGCATTTAAAGACTATCTCACGTGAGCAGGCAGGGAATACAAGCTGGTCCCCGGGGCTGTCTGCTGGCCGCCAAAATCCTTCTGCACCGCAGACGTAGAATTCTGGGATGCGTTGGGAGAACTCTTGGCCATCCTCACAACTGATGGTGCACATTTTGAAGCGACTTCCAGGGCCCCAATCAGAACAGTGACGTTGGCCACCAAGTGGAGGTGCAGGCAAAGGACAGAATTCACCTATAGGAAATATTTCAGGTTTATTTTTTTTTCACACACTTTACAAGTGTTCTAGAGACAAGGCTAAGTGTATATCGAGAATGAACAACAGGATGAGCTTGTAGAAGCTCATTATCTGGAGCGTAATGTCTCTCCTGCTTAGAGTTGTTCTCAACAACATGTACACTGCACTTGCAGCTCAGTTAAAAAAAAAATGTAGTTGTGCTGCTTATGAACTGACTGTTTTCTACCACACCCTGTTCCTAGTTATTTATGGTTTAAGGTCATAGAAGGTAGCTTCAGCCTAGTTATGGGATATAAACATTGTAAGAAGATAAAAAAAATGCTGTGGTTCTGAAGAGTCTAGCCAAGTAAAGGAAATTTTCAATCAGCCTTACTGAGCACGTGTATCCTGAAGTCACATTGAGCAGCGTTCCCGGCCTCATCCAGAGCCACATATGACAAATCATAAGTTCCTTTCATGAATGCTTGACCTGAAAAGATTAAAGGGCTTGTTAGATGATGGACAAG